AAAGAGGAAGACTTTGGCCTATTTCAAGTAGAAGGCCAAAGATGCATAGAAGAAGGACACGTAGACCAGCTGTTAGAAGTTATTCAAAATGAAAATAATAAGGTCATCATTGAGGGTATGGGCTGGAATCTTGTTAGTCCTGTTGTTCGATACCTTTTACAGAATGATAAAGAAGATGATAAACGGAAAGATTATTTGTTGATGCTTGATTTTTTGGTAAAGTTATGTAAACCAAAGGAATTATTGTTGGGTTTGCTTGAGCTGATTGAAGAGCCTTCTGGAAAACAGATATCCCGGGTTATACTTCTTCTACTTCAGCCATTGCAAACAGTGAATCAGAAACTTCCTAACAAGGCATATTCAGTTGGGTTAGCACTGTCTACCCTTTGGAGTCAGCTATCTCTACTTCCTGTTCCATACTCAAAGGAGCAGATACAAACAGATGATTATGGCCTTTGTCAGTGTTGCAAAGCCTTAATAGAATTTACTCAACCATTTGTGGAAGAAGTCATTGATGACAAAGAAAAGTCACTAATAAAAGACAATGAAAAGTTAAAGGATGAATTACTAAAATTTTGTTTGAAAAGCTTGAAATGCCCTTTGCTGACAGCACAATTTCTTGAACAGTCTGAAGAAGCTGGAAACGATTCTTTAAGGTGTTTTGCATCTGAAATAATAGGTTTTTTTAATCAGCTATTGGGTACTCTATCCCCAAAATGATTTTTAATCATGGAAGGAAAAAGAGGATTTGGGATTACCTAGAATTTGAAGAAGAAGAAGAAGACAAACAATTAGCAGACTCTATGGCTTCTCTGGCATAGTGTTCATACAGGGCATTAGCATGGATCAGCTTCAATGGTTTTAAGCCCATTGTATTTGTTACAGTTAAATATGGGGCATATAGAAGTCTTTTTGCAAAGAATAGAAGAGTCTATTTCTCCAAAGGATTGGATCTGCTGGAGAATGGTTTATTAAGACTAGAAGACAGCAGTCTACCTTATCAGTACTTAGAAATCAAGAGTTTTCCTACTGTACCTCAAGGTTTCGTCAAAGTAATGATGAGACTTTGAGGAAAAAGGGTTTAGCTATGCTTCAGCTATATATTAACAAGTTGGATTCACAAGGCAAATACACATTATTTAGGTGCTTATTGAATACAAGTAATCACTCAGGTGTGGAGGCAAAAATCAAGTTAATGACATGTAATTATTCTAAGGTAAAACATTTCACTATGTTTTGCATGTAATTGAACTCATTGGAAACCATATTATAATAAACTCTCATATCTGCAGTGGGTGGAGGAGGTTTATATTATGGATACATATATATATATTATATACTATATGAATAACAGTCTATATTTTTAAGAATTATTTTAATTTTTATTTATTATCATTACTTTTTAATTTGACCAGAGAGAGAAAATGAGAAAGTGAGCCGCCAGGTCTGGGACTCAAACCACAATCAGCCATGTGGGAATCCAGTGCTTTAACCACCACACCCCCTGCTGGCCCTGACAATCTATATTTCAGTTAATTGAAATACTATAAATTTTAAATAGACTTTAAAAAGATTAAACTGGGCCACCAGGTGATGCAGTGGTTAATGTGCTGAACCTGATGGCTTGAAAATCACACTGGGCACATGTACATGCATGCATGCCCAAAACCTCGAGAAAAAAATGGAGGAGAAGGGATTGCATTGTGGCCATCTCCCCTGGGGGTGATTTCTCACTTTCCTTTCAACTGTCTCTCTCTGGTGAGCACACACACCGTATGGCAAAAGTCTTAAAACGTTCAAAATAATATTTTTAAAAAAGGATTAAACCAAGATTAATAGTGTTTCTGCTAGAACTTTACATCTGTCAGTAATCTTTATTACTCACAGTTGAAATTAATAGCTCTAGAGTTATACCTTTTTTTCTTTTCTTTTTTTTTGGAGAGGTTTTTGCTATAGGGCGCATGCTCTCGCCAAAAAGACAGAGAGAGACAGAAAGCAAGAAATCACCCCCCAGGGGGGAGACAGAGAGAGACAGACAGACAGAAAGTAAGAAATCACCCCCCCAGGGGGGATGGCCATGCCACAGTCCCTTCTCCTCCATTCTCCTCTCAGG